AATTTAGTTTTTTACAACAATGAATTTACTCACCTAACACGTGAAGTTTTTATGGATGGACAATGCTTGGGGTACATAAGGATCTACATAAGGGTCTACATAATGCATATGCGGCATGTGATCCCACCTTTAATTCAAATATGACACTTATACATCAACCACCGGATGATTGCCACATCTGCATTATGTAGACCCTTATGTAGATCATTATGTACCTTTAGCATTATCCATTAATGATCGTGGTCGCCACTTTATATATTCATCAGTGTTTCTAAAAGCGTATAGCATGAAAAGACATTGAGGCCAGGTATCGGGTCAGGTGTAAAAAAATATTTTCTTATTTTAATTTTAAAATTTTAAATCAATCTAAAAATTATTTAATAATTAATTAAAAAAAAGTGTAAAAGTCAGATACATATAGGGGTGGAGTCATGAATTTAATTTACTGAGGGAAACATTTATTTGAACACGAAAATTTTAAATCAATGTAATAACACAAGATTTAGAAAATGATATAATACACAATAAATATTGTTTGAAATCAATTTGATGTTCGCGACATGAATTTTTTTTACCACTACCTTCGGGGTTTCTTACTCGATTTAGTTTTTTATTAAATTTTGTTAATTGATGCGTAGATTAAAAATTTTTTTGCTACAGTGACATGCAGAACAACGGAGTCAAATGACATATGGGATACGTGTCAATGAATGATTGAACATTTAAAAAAAAAAAAATCCAATCCTGCCCTGTCAACTTCCCTGTCATTTGCCCTATTGGAGGAACATTATTGTAGATTACATGTGTTAATATTAAAAAAATATTATCCAAAATAATATATAACTGCAGAAAACAAGTGCTGTACACCTCATTTTCTTCTTTCTTAAATCCATAGTTTTCTTGCACTAAGAAGTCACTATGGGCCCCACCATCTAGTCTTTCAGGCAATTCAATATTTTCATTTAATTAATGTCTAATATTAATAAATTATTAATTTTTAGGTTAAAAAATATAAATGGAAATGAAACAACATGAAAGCATGGAATTGTCCTAACCGGACTAACGGTGGATCCACCCCTGCATATATGTTTATACTTATCGATATATTGTTATTATTAACTTACAGTACAACAATTTGTACGCTTGTCTGCTCTCTATCTCTATCTCTATTAGAGCAATGTTTAATAACTCATCAAGCTTGTCATTTTCATGTTTCACGTATGTATTTCTATATGTAAATGGCAGTGAACAACTCAACAATTTGTGTGTAAGAATAAAAGAGCTAAAGTATTGTTTGTTTGTTGAGAAATAATCAATTTTGAAATTTAAATTTCACCACTTGCACTTATTTTGTTGTCATTAACTTATTGTAGATCATCAACTACTACTGTTTTTGCAAGTAATTGAGATGTTGACTGCCATATTCACATTTCATGTGTGCATTTCTATATATGTTGTCTTCAGTTATAAGCCATCATGGTCACAACTCTACGTTGATTTTTTAGTATGCATGTTGCCATCAACTATAAAACTATGGTTTGGTGGGGGTGTGAGTGTGTATCTTGATGTCCAGCTATCTTTTTTTAACATCAATTTCATTCATTCAAGTCACCGCAAACAAGATTCTAGATGAAAACGGACAAATATTCATGCCAAAGATCTATTGCCACAAAATTAGAAAATATAAAGAAGTTAAAAAATGAGTTACTTCATTCCCTTCTCAGGAGATAAAGCAACATTCCGACTGGGCTCCTACCTCCTGGCTCGACTTCTTCCACTTTAACTTGAATCAAATGCACTAAAATTGGTCATTCTTCTTTTAAGCTCATCTTGAAACTTGGTGTTTTGCTCGAGGCACTTAGTTTGAATAAGTCGTTGCATGACTTCCTTGACTTAGTTATCGATCTATTTGAAAGATGTAAAGGATCTTTATAACTTGCCCTTCATGATCCTCATCAACAAGAGCCACCATTAACTTCACCACCAATATGATAAATAATTTAAAATTACATATTTATTTATTGAACACTTTTTATATTTCAAATTATATAATACAATATAATTAATTGAATACACACACACACACACAAACCATATTGGATAAAATTTTTTTTTTCTCATTTAAGTGGTATAAACTTTTATATTGATCTATTGAAAATAAAAATACTAACTAATATATAAGAATTTGAAGTACTCATCTCACAAGTGAAGCCAAGAATTTTCTATTGGGGGCTTGGTTTGTCACAACATATCTTTCACATTGAAAAACGATTAAACGGCTAGTTCAAAATAACAAGTCAAATATGCTTGTTAAAAATGAATTTACTAATTCTATTTTTTATCTTTTAATTCTCACGTTATTGACATAATTATCTGCTTATTTTTGAGACATATTTTTTTTTCGTCACGATAAGTTCTCCGTAGCGTGTCAAAGTATTCATGGTAAACTTTGCAACTCATCTTTTTATTAAAAACAGAGAATTTAAAATAATGAGCCAAAGATTACTTCCGACTTCTATTATTTGGTTTCTATTTCAGAATCACCATTTCAGATTATATTCAGGCTATTGTCTTCACTTCTCAGGGTAGTTTCTTAATATCATTATTCAAAGCAAATTTCACAATGCAGCTTTTATATTGAAAAACTCTTAAACTGCAAGTTAAAAAATAATAAGTTAAATAAGACAGTTAAAAATAAATTTAATAGGGATGACAACGTATGGGTATGGGATGAATCGGCCATTTCTACCCACGTTCCGTCGAGTATTTTTGTTATTTTGTCCAATTCTCATACCCGGTTAAAGAGGGACGGGACGGGGTAGGTTTGGGGTGGGGTGCGTCCCCTGCCCCATTTAACGCTCCATTTATTATATTTTTTGCTTTTATTTTTTATATTTTTAATTAGTAAATAATATTTTTTTTTTCAATTTGTTAAAAACAATTTATGTTCTCTTTAAAAATGATGATAAATCTATTATTTTTATTTGATAAAAAACTTAAATTTGAAATTAACTTTAAATATAGGGCGAAAACTATGTTTCCCGTACCCGATTCGGGACAATGACCCCACTTCGTTTACCCTGTTAGGCGGGTCCCTTTACTAGTTTTTCCTCTTTTAACAAGATTAACCTTTCAAGTTAAAATTATCTTAATATTTTGAAGTTTTCTATAAAAAATTAATATATCTAAAAGCTTACCTAACATATCCAAATTTTAGTGCAAGAGTTGAATTTCTCTTTGTTTAAGGAAAAAATAATGTATAGAATAGCTGAAACCTAATACAACACTTTTTTTTTTAGCATGAGTGATTTCTCATGGTATGTAAGATTTAATATATCTAATAGCTCTAACCTAATAAAAAAATTTATGTTTAAGAATTCATAAACTAAGGATAGATAATCTTATGGGCAGTTCTAGCGTGAGGTTTTCATCTTCTTTCCTTGGATGTTCCAACTACCAATTATATCTTAACCCTCCTCTCTTACAAAATAGTAGTATATAATCAATGATATACCTACATTTGGACGTACATTTCTCTTTCTTCGACTCTGTCCTTGATTAATTTTCATTTGTAGCTAGCAATGGAGAGCGAAAGCAGCCAAAGCAACGTCGATCCTTTGCATAATCATGACATCCGTATCACAACCCCTCAAGGCCCAACTCCACCTAGGGTCCGTCGCTCTGATTTCCCCAAAGATTTTATATTTGGTTCTGCAACATCGGCTTATCAGGTGTGACGATGATTTTAGTTTTTCTTGGTTAATATTCTCTACAGACATATTCACCTTATTAAACATACTATTAATAAATAGATTTGAAGATAATAAGAATTGCTAAAACAATCTCGAGAAAGCATGTGTATGGGAGAAGGCTCATGCAAATGTAATTTAAATTGCATGTGTTCTTCCTAATAATTTAGGGGGAAAATGTGCAACAAACACTTGATTTCGAAAATATTATTCAATGAAAACGAAAAAAGAGAGAAACGTAAAAGAATTTAGTTGGACTCCCACTTAGCTCTCTCTTCACAAAGTTAGAATTCTCAACGCACATGCATGCACCAATTTTTCTCTTTTTTTCTGCTTTTCTCTCTGCAGTCTACAGTTTATCTATCGGACATAAATTTAGCAGCTGGTTTTCACCCACTACACAATATTATTCAATGCAGCCGACCACCTACTATATTTTTCCCTTCACGAAGACCAATTAAAAATAACTTAATTTGAGTCAACTCTAACAAATAATTCGTTTTTTGGGCCATATGTATAATGTGTGCAGGTCGAAGGTGCCTGGAATGAAGATGGTAAAGGCGAGAGTAATTGGGATCGTTTCACAGCGGATAATCCTGGTCCCTCTCTCTCTCTCTCTCTCTCTCTCTCTACACAGACACGTACTTGCATCACACAAACACTTATATGTATGCATTCATTTCTGAGGAGTTTGTTGGGGTGGCAGATAAAATTACAGATAAAGGCAACGGGCGTTTGGCTATTAATCACTACCATCAGTGGAAGGTACCTCACTTATGCATGTTTATTCCAACTTTAACGTTTGATGGGCCCTATTTAATTGGAGTAGTGTTATTTAGCCACACTGGAGTTACAACCCCAATTTAGGTGGCGTTAATGTAGCATTATCATTTAAAGCCACATAGATTGGGGTTATAACTCCACTGGAGATGAATAGCATTATTCATTTAATTATATAGGAATTGATTTAAACTTCTGCCATGCTGGTGTAAATGACACTTGACTTAAACTAATTCCAGAGCCTGACGCTTAATAATATAGATTTAGATCGAAGTATTTATTGAAGGATAATGAGAAAAAGGTTACATGATTTGAAATACGTAAATTTATATATAAACAAAGATTAATGCTGTGAGTACACGGGGAAAAAAACAGAATTGATACAAAATTTTGAATTTCACTCACATGGGGGTGGGGGTTTTTTGCCAATATTTTAATTATAATATCCTAGGCACTTGAATTAGAGAAGTCTCCATTATCATTTGGCTTCCATATGATTTCCTTTTTTTTTTTTTT